TCCTCTCTTCACCAACTTATAATCAACCACAAATCTAGGCATCTTCAGCCACTTATTCTAAAATCTAATAAGAGGAAAGTGGCTCATATAATGCCGAATTTGCCAAGACACAAGGGATGATGATTCAAACTGACCCTAAGCAAAAGTTTTTGGATAAAGTTAGGCATCAATTCTTCAAATCCAAAGACACCAAAATTGATCAATACGAGGTAAGCGAGTATCCTCTCTCAAAATGGATCATGTCCATTTGCCCTGCACGAGGGAGAGATAAATGAGCTTCCAGTATCCACCACATCTAAATTCCATAGTAAAAGCCAAAGAGAGATTTGTTCTTGCACTTATCATGATAGTAGAACACTGTATTAAACCCACACCCACAAACAAAGGCAAGTTACCCCATCAGCCCCTAGTTGCCTCAAGGTCATTCCATAACAAATGCCCATCTCTACCTTTTCCCTTTCCATACATCCCATGAAAAGGAAAGAAACCCCAACTTCTGTTTTTCATACACAAGAAATGGACACCATCACTGTAAAACACTGAACATAACATGGAAGAGATGAGAAAGGACTATTTTGACTCCCGGAACCTCACACAACGTATCATTCGGAAGACTTGATCATTTAATTTATCCTCCCTACTTGAAACTACAGCCACTTATATGGTATGCAAATTCAAGATAATAGAAAAATAAAAGAATAAGGAAGGACGTCACAACCTACTTAATAAGTCAATCCTGATTTCCTAACCCAACAAAACTTCTAAAAAACTCCCTATCTTAAAGAAATTGAAGAACACTGGAGAAAAATAGCAAAGCTAATTTCAAGAAGCAAAAGCTTGGAAAATTTATTAATCTCAAAGATGTGATTACAACATAAGAACTAAAGTTTTTATATATACTTTTATTTTCTACTCTGACTCGTAGTAAAATTACATATTCCTATTTGAAATCTTAAAACTAATTTAACTAGAACTCTTCCTGAAAATTATTTAAATAATAAACTCATAATCTAGAACTAAGATTAAATTAATAAAAAATATTAATTTATTTGGAGTAGAACTCCTCCTCCCTTGGTTGAACCCCCTTAGCGATTTTATCCTTGTTTTTGTCTCCAACTTTGAGTAGAACTCCTTTAAATTCAACGTATTAATCACATATGGAAAAATAAGAAAAGAATGAGAAGTCCTTCTTGGATTCTATCTTGCTGTCCAAGCATGCCATGGAAGCTTCTCCCACACAGTCTCTTGCTTTCCTGCGACTCCTTCTTGCGGTAGAAGTCCTCCTTCGGGTTCCTTACTTCCTTGAGTCTTCTAGAAGCCGCTTGTTTGATTTCAAGGAGGATTTGCAGTCGGTTTAGAAGAGGTAGCCGTCAGGTTGACTTCCTCACGCGAGATGAGGTCTTGCATGTGCGGGTTCTCCTTCCCGCACATGTGGCAGCCCGCACATGTGAAGTAAAAGACTCACATGCGCGGCACATGCTGTCTGCAAGCCTTTTCAGCCGTTGGGACCTTGACTCTTCTTGGACCAAGATTCGGTCTTCCTTCAATTTGGGCTAAGACTTGGACATTCTTGTGATTCTTCAAACCCATTAATCTCACTTGGGCATTAAGTTTCCTTTGAGCAAATTTGACTCATTATTTAAAAGAATCCCGTTTAGAAAAATAGTTAGGGATGTAATTACTTTTCTTTTCGAAGCATTCCAGTTTAGGAAACTGGAACTTGTTTGGGCCAACCTTGTTTAGGGGAAAAAAAATTCAGAATTGTTTGCCTATTTAAGACAGGTCCTGCAGGACTTTCCTTTTTCGCAGGGTTTCTTCCTCCCGCATGGGGGCTATGCCTCTCGGAACTTTGCTCGGATTTTCGGGAGGTCCTTCGGCTTTACCATGCTCACATCAAAACATTTCTGGTTGATTCTCTTATCACAAGATAATGATATCTCCAACACTCCCATCTGCAAATAGATCCAATCAAACAACCTCCTGCCTACTGTATATACCCTGAAAATATCCTCACTCATGCCTGCAAATTTAGTATCTTGCAGAAAAACTAGACTACCACCCCATACCTTAAGGAAGCCCTCGTTATGACCCCTTATCATTCAACCCCCTCATGTTCCAGAAAATAATTCTAATTAATGGTTCCATGTCTTCTTTCTCCCTCAACTCCCTTGAAGTGCCCTTCTTACTATATTGGCTATGCATTCTAATCTTTTAAGCTCCCTAGACTTTCTTGTTCTTTCATCCTTGCCCCTCCTGTTCCTGCTTTTATGAGAGTTGTCATCACTTGACTCTCCCTCTCTTTTAGCCTCCATAGCACAGAACAAAGTGAATGCTTGTTGTTTGAAACCTTCCAAGCTCACTTCATACACCTTATGCATCTTCACAATATTATTTTTCACCCAATCAGAAACTTCCCTTTTGTTCATCAGCCCATCACAGCAAACACCACGCCCTGCAACTGGTTTACTACCTTAGCAAGCATGGGAGCAACCTCTCCTTTCACAAGTTCCAAGTCTAGCCAAAAGAGAAGGAAATTCCAGAGAGGAAGAAATCAGACCTTGATAAACAATGTGAAGACGTTTCTACCTCCACTTTTTATGCATTGCCTTGAGACTGGCAGTTTGGCTTCCTAGTTGAAAAGCAAGCCTTTCGATGAGGAAGAGTGTTCTTAAACATGGGCTTGGTGACGTGGGAGGGTCGGAGAATGATCGTTGACTTCCGAAACCTCACACAACGTGACACTGGAAAGCTTAACCACCCAATTTACGCTCTTTACTTGAAATTACGCCCACCAATATAGAATGCAAATTCAAAGTAACTGGGAAAAATAAAAGAATAAGGAAGGAAGTCACGGTTTACCTGATAAATCAATCTCGATTCCCTTAATCAACAAGTCTTCCGAAACTCCCTACCTTGAAGACACTTAAAGATCACTAAAAGAAAATCAATAACACTAATTTTAAGAAGCAAAATCTTGCAAATTTTATTGATCTTGAAATTTGTTAGTTGTGATTACAACCTAAGGATTGAAACCTTTATATAGGCTTTATTTTACGAATACGACTCAGAGTAGGATTACATATTCCTACTTGAACTCTTACAACTAATTTAACCAGAACTTTTGTTGGAAATTATTTAAATAATAGAATCTTAATCTAGAACTCTAATTATATTAATAAAATAATATCGAATTACTAGGAGTAGACTTCTTCTTCCTTTGTTTGAACCCCTTAACTCCTTTTGTGCTCTTTTGGACTTCAATTTTGTGTAGGAGCCTCCTTTGTTGCAGCATGGAAAACATGTGGAAATAAGGGAAGGAAGAGGAGTTGGAGCAGGAAAACAGCTTGCTGTCCAGGCTGTCCGCGTGCAGCTGGTTCACAAGCATGGTGTCTGCGCCTAGCGCGCACAGAAGCTTCCTCGCGTGCATGGCTGGTGCATGCGTGCGGCAGAGGCTGTCCCCACATGCGCGTCCTGCGTGTGGCCTGCTGGAGTGCATGCGCACATGCGCACTCTGCTGCGGGCGGCTTCGACTTTTCCTAGGCGTGTTGGCTTTATGGCTTGATCATCCAGCACAAGCATGTCTTCAAGTGTGCGGTAAAGGCTTCCCAAGACGCAGCATGGGCTGGCCCGCTTCCTTTGGCGCGATCTCCTTTGGGCCGTGGCTGTTTGGTCTTGAGGCCTTCTCAGGTTGATCTAACATTTGGACTTTCTTGCGATCCTTCGAGCCCATTAATCTCACTTGAGCCTTAAGTTTGCTTTGAACAAATTTTTTCCATTCTTTGGAGTAATCCCATTGAGAAAACTAGTTAGAGATGTAGTTACTTTCCTTTTCAAGGCGTTCTAGTTTAGGAATAGGAAATGAAAAGAATTTAGAATTGCTTGCCTGTTTGGGACAAGATCCTTCGAGCCCATTAATCTCCTTTCACAAGTTCCAAGTCTAGCCAAAAGAGGAGGAAATTCCAGAGAGGAAGAAATCAAACCTTGACAAACAATGTGAAGACCTTGTTTCTACCTCCACTATTTATACATTGCCTTGAGACTGACAGCTTGGCTCCCTAGTTGAAAAGTAAGCCTTTTGATGAAGAAGAGTTCTCTAAAACATGGACTTGGTGATATGGAGGGATGGGGAATAATGATCATTTTGATTCCCGGAACTCACACAACTTAACACCAGAAAGCTTAACCACCTAATTTACTCTCTCTACTTGAAACTACACCCACCAATATGGAATGCAAATTTAAAGTAACTGGCAAAAATAAAAGAATAAGGAAGGATGTCACGACTTACCTGATACGTCAATTCTGATTCCCAGTCTCAACAAAACTTTTAAAACTCCCTACTTTGAAGACGTTTGAAGAACACTCAAAGAAAATTAGCAACATTAATTTTAAGAAACAAAAGCTTGCAAATTTTATCGATTTTGAAAGTTATTAGTTATGATTACAACCTAAGAATTGAAGTTTTTATATTAAATTCTACAAATACAACTCGAAGTAGGATTACATATTCCTACTTGAACTCTTAAAACTAATTTAACCAGAACTCTTATTGGAACTTATTTAAATAATAAAAATCCTAATCTAGAATTACAATTATATTAATAAAATAATATCAAATTACTTGGAGCAGACTTCTCCTTCCTTTGGCCAAACCCGTTAACTCCTTTTATGCTCTTTTGGACTTCAATTTTGTGTAGGAGTCTCCTTTGTTGTAGCATGGACAACATGTGGAAATAAGGGAAGGAAGTGGAGTTGGAGTAGGAAAACAGCTTGCTGTCAACTGGCGTGCAGGCTTGCTGTCTGCTTGTGTTTGGTGCCCGCAGAACCTTCCTCGTGCGCCCGGCTGGTGCGTGTGCGCAACAGGGACTGTCCACACATGCGCGTCCTGCATGCAGCCTGCTGGAGTGCGTGTGCGCACATGCGCACTCTGCTACGTGCAGCTTCGGCTTTTCCAAGACGTGTGGGCTGTGTGGCTTGTTCATCCCGCACAAGCAGGTCTTCAAGCCTGCAAGTAAAGGCTTCCCAAGACGCAGCACGGGCCAGCCCGCTTCTTTTGGCTCAATCTCTTTTGGGCCGTGGCCCTCCATGGCCATGAGGTCTTGAGGCCTTCTCGGGTTGATCTAATGTTTGGATTTTCTTGCGATCCTTCAAGCCCATTAATCTCACTCAGGTCTCAAGCTTGTTTTGAACAAACTTGCACTATTCTTTTGAGTAATCCCATTTAGAAAAGTAGTCAGGAATGAAATTACTTTCTTTTTCAGCATGTTCTACTTTAGAAAACTGAAATTTATTTTTCCGTTTGAACCGACCCCATTTAGGAAACAAAAAGAATTTAAAATTGCTTGCCCGTTTGGGACGGAACTAGCGGGAATCCTTATTTCCATGGGGTTCCTCCTCGATACGGGATTGCACCCTGGGAACTAACTTTGAGCCGTCTAGGATCACATCACTTGGTCTGCTTTTTTTTATTACCAGCTTGGTTGGTTTAATAGGCACAAATGTGAAGTCTTTAGGGAACACCATTACTAGCAGCCTTTTTATGGTTGGGAGCAGCTTACTTTTCTTTCTCTTGTCTAGAGAAATTCGGTCTTGGTAGATTTGGCCCAATAACATTATCCCTAGGCTCCTAGAACTGGTGAATTCTGTGGCATGTCTACCTCTTCCTCCGACCAGCAAGGTTCCTCACGGGCTTTCCTCTTCCCGTCCTCTAAATTGATGTCGGAAACAAAATAAACCCCCAGTGACAGTTGCCACCAACCCTCTGCTTCAGTGCCTTAGTGGACCATCAAACTCCTTGTGCTGCCTGTGTTCTTCTCTTTCAGCTCTAGAAGATGCCCCTGCTGTTCCATTTCAACCAGATAGAGATAACCTATCCTCACTCTTATAAATTCTGGATCAAGAATTATGGCCCTAAAGCTTCAAAGATCTGATATCCAAGCTAAAAAGATAAGAGGAGAACCTTTTTCTTAGCATCATTTTCAGTGATTCTAAGGATATCCTCCACTTCTGCTTCCAAAACCACATCAAAAGACCTTTTTTCTGACACCAAAAGCATTCTTGGTGACAGAAACAGCATGGTGAAAAGCTTAAACAGCCAAGAAAAATGAAGTGCGAATCCCCCAGGACAGCATGGTGATCTCCAAATGCTGTCAAAGTTTAAATTGTATTGGGACATAGAGCACTGGGGCTTTTTTTCCCCTAGATTAGTTTGTTATGTATTCTTCAAAATTAAATCCCAATTTTTTAACTTAAAAATTTTGTATTGGATCTTATCAAATCCAAATGCTTCCATAATACCCAATTAATATTGGGAGCATTGATCCCTTTTTCAACTTGACTACTTTGTTATGTTTTCTTCAAATTAACACCTAATTTTTCAACTCAAGAAAATTATATGTGATCTTATTGGAAATCATAAGCTCAGTTCACATTGGGACTTAGAGCAACTGGTTCTTTTCTTCTGTCTAATAGTTTATAATAATTTTCCAAAAAGAATATTAAATTTCCTTCATTATTTCTTCTTTTATGCTTATAAAATACACACACATACTGCTGTAAGTTTATCTGTTCTAAAAGACATAATTCATGACCAATTACCTCAATAAAATCAAACCAGTCAGACCAACTCACGAAACCAGTTGAATCAAATACCCATAAAATGTAATCATTACTTCAAGCTTACCACGTCAACTTGCATATCAGAGAGAACAGACTTCAACTGCTCTGCAACAAACTCTGCTGGCAAAGCATTAATACCCTGAGAAAAAGAACAATAGATCAGAGAAACCACAGAACAAAGTTGGTTGTTACATTGGAAGAAACGAAAAAGAGATTATTTAGACGAATTATAACTATAGATTTGGTTGTAAGATTTATAAGATACCTCCATGGAGCTGTTTGAGAAAATCTTAGAGTAAACAAAAGCAAGCTTCAATTTCAGGATTTTTTTTTAAGAAGAAAAGTAATATCAAAGTGCAACCTGAACCCCAACAGTGTTCTGTGCAGTGACAGCAGTTATGACAGTGGAACAGTACACTCCACGAGCAGCACAAGTCTTCAAATCAGCTTGAATTCCAGCACCAGCTCCTGAATCTGAGCCCGCAACAGTTAATACATGGGGAATTTTCCTGTTGGAGCAATCATTTGTTGTCGAAGAACCAGTTATTTGGGTTGCAAAACTTTGCTTTTGATAACTTCTATTGATGTTTGAATCCATAGATGAGCTTGAAAACCTCAAGTAACGAAATGTGTAGTGAGAAGCTTCTCTACAGCTCAACAGCAAACACTTGAGAGAGAAAATGTCACTTTATATTCAGAACAAAAATCACAGAAAACAAAGTCATAAATTAATTCCAACGCAGAATCAGATGAAAGCACATAATGTGAATAAGGAGATGCGATTAAACAACAATCTGTTTGGAGTGAACAACCTTGTTGAAGAATAAGGGATTGTAGAGAACTCCTGCAAGAGCCATGTAAGCAGTAAGGAAATTGATTAGTCTTTCTATAGAAAAATAAGGGAATAAATTCTAAATTAGTTTTGTTAACTATACAATTTCTGTTTTCTGCTGTAAACGGAGACAGTCACAAATTTGGTAGAGAACAACCAATTTTGTTATTTCCTCCTCCCCATAATTCTGTTAGGAGTTTGTTAGAATTTAAACTGTATATATACACCTTTGATGAATAGAAATGATAAGCAGAAGCATTATTTCCTCCATTAAATTCTTTATGCTATCAGAGCATACCTGATTCAAAAGAAAAGAGATTCCTGCTCAGCCAACATCTTCAATGGCCATGGATAAGCTTCCGTCTTCTCCACCAGAGGTTTCCTCTAGTTCCTATCGCCACACAGCAACCACCAGAGCTGTGAATGAGATGTCATCGTCCTGTATCACACAACACAAACTCGACAGCAGCAACTACCTTAATGGTCGTCGTCTGTCCACTTATTCATCCACGGAAAAGGGCATTATGGGCACCTCACTAGCGAGTTCGTGCCTCCTCCAGCGTCCGACTCAAATGCGGAAGTCTGGGAGATTGAAGACCGCATGGTCATATCCTGGCTTATCACCTCGATGACTCCTGAAATCGGAGAGAATTTCCTTCTCTACGAAACTGCCCACGAAATCTATAAGGTAGCTCAGGAATTCTACTTCAGCAAGAAGAACACTTCGGCTATTTTCGAAATCGAATCGACACTCCATGACTTTCGACAAGGTGAATTGAGCGTCACTCAGTATTATAATCTCCTAACCCGTAATTGGCAGCAGATGGATGTCTTCGAGGAGCGTCATTGGAACTGTCCTGAGGACGTGAAAAGCTTCAAAGCTTTCGTTGAAGAAAAGCGAGTCTTCAAATTTTTGCTAGGGCTGAACAAGAATTTCGATGAGATTCGGGGACGCATACTGAGCACCAAGCCATTGCTAAGCCTTCAGGAAGCTTTTTCTAAAGTTCAACGCGAGGAGAACCGTCAGAAGGTCATGATGGGAAAGACTGACCAAACTCACCCGACTAAAAATGCTTCAGCACTCACAAGCCGAACTGTTGACAGTCGAACGAAGAAGGCGAGGCCTTAGTGCGATCACTGTCGGAAGCTAGGGCACACTCGGGATCGTTGCTGGAAACTTCACAGCAAACCAAGCGACTGTAAACCATCTTCGGGTGAGTGGAAGACGACAAAGGCAGAGAACTCCAGCAAGCATTAAGGGAATCACATTGTTGCCGAGGAAATGCCTCCTGATGCAGTGGAAATAGACCCATTTCCTCATGAGTAGTTAAAAGCCCTCCAACGTATTCTGTCCAAGAAATCTTACCCGGTCAGTACCTTTGTGGCACACAAAGGTAATATTCTTGGCTTGTTTGTTTTTTCAAAAAAATGGCAAATGTAGTGGACTCTAGAGCATCTGACCATATGAGTGGAGATGCCTCAATGTTTCAAGATTACAGAAAATATAAAAAAGATTTTTCAATCAGAATTGCAGATAGTTCTCTCTCAAAAGTGACTGAAATGGGTTCTGTAAATTTGTCTCCAAATTTTACTCTCTGTTCAATTCTCCATGTTCCAACTTTGTACTGTAATTTATTATCAGTTAGCAAACTATGTGAAGATTTGAAATGTTCTGCAAAATTTGTTTCTAATATATGTAATTTTCAGGACTTACATTCGGGGAGAACGATTGGCAGTGCTAGAATGAGCTCAGGATTATATTTGCTTCTAATCAATACTTCTAAAAAACAAGCTCACAATGCAGTATGTGCAAACTTTGTTTCTATTTCTGCAAATAATGACCATGATATTATGTTGCGGCACTATAAACTAGAACATCCAAATTTCATGTATTTGAAAAAGATGTTCTCATTAATATTTAAAGAAAAAGATCCAGTTTCATTACAGTGTGAAGTATGCCCATTTTCTAAACACACTCGAAGTTCATTTCCTAACTTGTCATACAAACCTTCAAAACTATTTGCATTAATTC